TTTTATATGCAGACAGCGAAAGTAAACGTACTACGAATCGGGAATGAGCGTGGAAGGCGAAAGGTAAAAAAGGGGTTACTTCTAGGTAGGGTCCAGGGATAATGCCGGCATGCAACCTGAAGTTATGCACTGTACCAAGAGTGCATAAACCAGAGTGTGCAACTGTGCATATCAGATCTGAAACAGCGCAGCTCGTGCACTACGTCATCCTGATGAGGTCAGCCAAGCCGCGACTTGCGTTCAGCTCAAATAATTAATTTTCATGTTTCATAGCCCGGAAATCAGCCAAGTTTGCTTGATTTTAGACGTCCAGTTTCAGGATTTCGGTGTTTTGTGTTACTGTGTACGCTGCGTACATCCACCGACAAGTAAAGTCACACGGCTATCCGTATCAAAAAAACGAAATCAGGACAAACTCAGTGACCTGCACCACCGCGACTGGTTACGCAACTTTTCACCATACCTGTGGCTAACCATGCCTTCAGAAATGACGTACTGCACGAACTACGCTCCCACAGGAACCATCCCGAGTTGCACACTCTGGTGTATGTACTCTTGATTGTACCAAGAGGTTTATGTACTCTTGATGGTACTGGTACATGACGTGGTGATTGTACAGGTACATGACGTTGTGATTGTGTAGACACGGAACACTTTCATGGCTTTAGCACTAATGCTACACAATTACACAATAGATAAATTTGTTTCATGTCACGTGGTCAAACCAACAAATTTAAAAGTACACATGTTTATTTACGTGTACCTGACCACGTCATTGCTACATCAAGACGTCATCAAGTGGTGTGCTTGACTGACCGAACAGTGCTCAATACCCATGTAGGGCAGAAGCTGCGCGCTGAGGAAGAGGGATCTTCGACCAGTGTTCATAACGGCAGCATCCATACAGCGTGGATGGGAAAGGTGTCAGCTAGGATATTAAGTTTTATTAATGCCACAGACCTGTACTCCTGGCCAAGGCCGCTATAATTATGAGCAGCCATGGGAGACCGTCCGAAGCTCTCCGTAGACGAGGTTAGTGATGTCCTGACGCGGCAATGGTCGGGAGTTCACCAATCTCGTCTACAGAGATCACCTTCTCACGACAATGTCATGGTAGTGTCAGTGACTGTTGTCAGCTGACGAGCTGAGAGAAACACGCCATGGGCAGAAGTTGGTAGAAAAAGAGTTAAGAAAAAAACTCGTCAGATTTAAATAAGTAAAAAAGCGTTTCGGAGTAAGCAGGTCTAATATAGCTACAAGGAGGACTAATATAGCTACAAGGAGGAGGACTAATTGTACTGTAAGCATTTCCTATTTGTCGACATGTAAGTGTAAAAGCAGCATTATGCTCAGCGCCAGCACCGGGAACAGCTCTTAAACACCACCCCCGGCACCAGTCCTGATTACCTTCGACGTTCCTTCCCGTACTGTTTCCTTGAATTGTGGAACAGCCTCCCCGAGGACATCTTTCCCCGTCTGGCCAATCACTCTCCACTCACAGCTTTTAAAAAAGGTGTGAACAAACACATTTCAGACCAGCCATGGTCTTGGGACGTGCTTTGAAGCCCATCATGTTGTTCGTCTCACTGTTCTTTCCAGATTGCACCTCTCGGTTTGGGGATGTGCATTGAAGCACCCCATACTAACGGTCTATACTGTCCTCTCTTGGTCACCACTCTCCCTATTACCTATATTGAAATTACCATTCATGTATTGCGCTTCAGATTTTCTTCCGTTTTTGTCTCTTGGTGCGTTACCGGCATGGCGATACTGAGACCTAATGGTCAGTGGAGTGCCTGTAGCCTCACCAGCACTGCTACTATCTGTGACTGTGGCGACCACCATTCAATGTCTAGTCCTCCCCTAACCGTACCCCAACTCTCTCTCTCTCAGCTCTCTTTTTATCTGTCTTTTCTTACTCTTTTTTCTTTGTCAGCCTTCCTGGTGGTTATGTGCTTTTTCAAGTAAATAAAAAAAAAAAAATGTTATACGATGATTGCAAGGAAAGGGAAAGAGAGGATTTGTTCAGAATATTTTTCTTGTTAAATTCATCAGTGAATCTACCTTACAATGGAATAGGGACTACTTGAAACTTATCTTGTTTGGACAGGTTAAAATAGCTGCTATTTGTTCACTATCAAGAAGACATCCAGGAGCGATGACATAATACAGAACTGACGTTAGGAGAAGTCTATAAAACTCAACTTGAATAAAGAGGGTCAGAACGGGGGGCCCATACGGTGAAGATGGTCTCAACAGACTGGGGCTCTCTCAACCGTGGATGGTTGTAGTAAGGTCACTAGTTACGCACACGGTGTCCTCCGGCTTGTTACATGTTTGTCAACTGTATTGTGCCGTGGTCGTCATGGTTATGAACCACAGTTGAAGGTTTTGGAAGCCATCCATCAGCGACTGTACAACACGTATTTGTGTGTACAAAAAGATAGTAAAATTGGGTTGAAATTGTTCAAGTGACGTGTCGTGTTTGGTGCGGACAAGTTTCGTCGTTAATGTTCTCGGTGAAATGTACGGATGTTAGGTGTTATCACTTTGTCCTTCCTTCTTTCTTTCTCTTGTTTGTTCATTTTTTCATTTGCAAGTTTATGTTAGCACATGCATTCGTTATTGCTCTCGCTTTCATTGTTAAAATTCACACTAGTAAATTTCACTGCTGTTGTTCTTAATGCTATTTCCGGAACTTAGATTTTCTATAATAATTCAATTTTGTTTCAATGTTCTTTAGGTCAACGACAATTCCTGATGAGTGTTATACGAAACTTTTTTGAATCCTTATTTTTTCTACAGTATTTCTTCATATTTGCATCGTTTTATTGCACATTGTCTCCACTGTTTTACATTGCATGAATAAAGAGTACACAAATGTCGATTCAGCTTGTTTTATTGATAGCGGTTATCAAAAACAAGGTTTACGTAATATTACGAGGTGATTAGCAAACATTTTACACGGTTTTAAACTCGCCCTGCATTCATAGCCAATGCCCTTTTTCATGACTGATAGTGATAGTAGTTTATTACTCATAAAAAGGACACACTTCAGGCTCATTACAAACATCTTGAAAGTTTTTGTCTTCACAAGTATACTTTCAAGCCTTCTCGTCAGGTGAAATACAGGCAAGGGAAAAGAAACAGGAACAGTGGATTAAATACAGTAAGAAGGTGGTAAAACAGCGCAAAAAAAGAAAGTAGCTAAAGTAAACAGCGAAAAATGCAATAATGACACAAAGGTGCAAATGCGAGAAAACTCAATAAGCGTGACATGTAGTGCGACAACAAGAGACAACCACTGGACATACATGTAACTAACGAGGTTTTGACGACCTACCTAACAGCCTAAGTGTGAATTTGATTTGTTTCTGCTTGAAAAGGTTGGGTTTCTTTGTGTGGATGTATACATTGATGCACGTATCATAGCAGCGAACCGGGCATTTTCCAGTGTATCATGGAAACGCCATACCCAGCAGTCCCGCTTAAGCATGTTCAACTGTCTCATTTTGCCAGTTCTCCTATATAACTGCGCGCTATGGACTCTAACAAAAGCCTTAGAAAGCAAAATTGATGTATGGCACCGCCGTAAACTCAGATACATACTTGGAATCATCTTTCCCAATAAAATTTCGAATAATGCTCTTTATGCTAAAACTGCTCAATGCCCAATAAGTGCAGTCTGTAGACGCCGGCGCTTATTATGGTTTGGACATGTCATTCGTGAGGGGAAGGACGCTGTGTCCTACAAAGCCCTTCACATGGCAATGAATATAACAGATATAAAGAAGCCCAGAGGTCGCCCAGTGACCAGATGGGTAGACAACATTAGGAATGACCTTTTACTTCTCAATATGTCTCTTTTGGAAGCGGAGCAACTTGCCTCAGACAGAACGCACTGGCTCGACGTTGTCGACAGATGCATGACCCTCATTTGATTTTTCATATGAGCTATATGCGTGCTGTACTATTATTATTATTATTATTATTATTATACAGCTTCCAAAAAATTCAGCAATCTAGCACTGCGTACACGTGACACAATCGAACAATAATCATCTGAATACACAGCACGACAATCAGGATGCTCAAACAAATGACTAGCAATGGACGACTCATACTTATCAGAACTAACATCAGAACAATCAGCATGTGCGGTGGACACATCCGATATCACATGGCTAGTCGAGTGGATCCTAGCCGTTGCCTCTGCTTGTGCTTTAGTCGCTGCCATCGCCGCCGTTGCCGATCTTGTCATTCTTCTGGTTGATGCGGTTCCTGTCACTGCCACGCCAGTAGGTGTCTTGTCCGGTTGTTTTTCTGGTGGTCTAGTTAATTGTGAGGTGACGTTGCTTGGTGTTGATGCCGCTGCGTTGGACCATCTTGTACCAGGATGATTCTTTGCTGGACGTCCCCTCCGTGGTCGAGTGGATCGTGCGTGTTGTGGAATAAGGTGTAGCGGTGCGTGTTGTCGGATGCGCGCGTCCAGATGTTGAAGAGTCCTACCTAAATGTACATTGTAGTCTCTAAATTCGCTGGTAAAAAGGCACACGCTGGTGATGGAGTACTGAATCCTTAGCAGTGACACAGTCAACTGTAGCACTTTCAGTCGCCTCTGATATAGCCAACAGAGTGGTACTGTGAAGTGCGTCAGGCCTCGCAAGCAAAAGCACAAACAATGCAGTATGACCCCACGTCAGCGCCAAGACTCAAGTGCTTTACTTTGATTTGTCGATGCGTCTTGTGTGAAACTTAACGTACTAGTACTAGTAGTGTGACCGAAGCGTAAAATAATGACTCGGCCGCGGAAGTGCCCATAAAATGGTAGGTACCAGGGTGAAATCATGGTGTGCGTGAACGTAAGTGAACAGTCTGAGCGTTTCCGTATTATGCAGGCTTGCCTTTAAGGCCGCCCACGCGGCAAACCTGGTATAAAGGTCGAGGCTTCAAGCTAGGCCTCTTCCAGTTTCTTTTCACCAGCGAAGGAGTCACGGGCCTGTAGTACAATCCGATACAAATTCCCTTGCATAGTTTTGAGTCGCCTTTCACTTTGGTAGTTAATAACAATAATGCTGCAAGCGCAGCGAGTTGTTGACGAAGACTGTGTTCATCCAGAAAGCAGAAGGTAAATAAAATCAGCTGCTATGCTTGGCAATGTTTTTATCTGCTGCTCAACTTCCTTTCCGTGACTAGGAGTAGACATTGGGTGACGGTATTGTCACCGTTATTTTCACTGCACATTTGTGTCCCTACATGAATGTCTGCTGCTGTGATGTGTGAAAGTGTGTGACAGTGTGTGACAGTGTGTGTGTGTGTCCTCTCTCCGCCATTACTACTGTACTATACAGAATGAGTCGAAGACGGACCCATGCAGCGATAAAGGCAATTGCTCAGCCCTACACTCCTCCATTAACTCTAGCCCGAGCAAAACGTTCTCAGCTTACAGGAAATATCCTCGTGGAAAAAGAACGTTCTGCAGCGTTTTCAAACACTGACCCTGTGTTGGAGTATCTAACTGTCGTGCCTGAGGATGTAGAGGCTACAAATCCTGTTGAGGACCTAAGCGTTGATGACCCGGAGAATCAAAATCCTGTGAAATACAGCACACTGGAACTGATTGACTACGACGTCTGGCGCTCGGAACTACTACTGATGTTGTCCGTCAGAGACATTATTCGACTGGGTCAAATGTCTCGTCATTTCCACAGATTGTTCATGGACGAAGAAATATTTCGGATGCTATGCGAGGTGAGTGTATCCTGTGTTGCATCTGTGTTTGTATTGTATTTTTGTATTTTACTTGTACTTGGGTATCTCCAACAGACTCTAAGGTCTTCTTACCGGTGCCCAAGATGCGTGAATGTGTGGTAAGGTTGTCGAAAAAATGAATTGGGCATGTGATTAGCGCGAAGGGATTCGGATAGCAAATTTAAGAGGTCAGCCCCATGGAATGAAATATAATTGGATCCAGCTTGAGTTTGCAAAATGGGTAAAGAAAGCGAATTATTGACTTGGCCTCGGGGCGACTCAAAGACACGGCGAAGGCAGAACATGTGGGAGACTTACAGGAGTGAGCTGCAGAGCTCACACTGAGCTGCAATTTTTGGTTTTCGTCCCTAGCAACGGTGCTCACAGTTTGACTTTGCGAAGAAAAATAAAGAATACATATACATACAACAGAGACTTCTGTAAAGAACATTTTTGAATCGCAGCGCTGCTCTTTTTGAAACCATCCCAGCGGTGCATACTTCATTCCTGATGATGGTCATTTTATGACCCAAACGTTGAAATACTTTGAAAAGAGTGGCGCAGCGGTTGAGTGTGAGCCGGTGTTCTTCGCAACCCACTTCTACTACGCGTCCTACAATTTTCTCATTCTCATCATAGAGAAGGGCCTCATTTACGGGCAATCCAGAGAAAACTGAATAGATTATCATCAATGAATATGTCAATATAGTCGGGAGACCACTGAATTGAGTTAAATTAAGAATATTATTGTGCCAGATAAATATTGGATGATTGCTGATATTGTACCAAAAAGATATGGTCTGGTGTAAGATATTAATCCCACATAATTATTGAAGTGACATGTGATATTCTGCTCAGGTCAAGTGCAATGCACTAAAGAGCCTGACGGCACTGAGTAACAAATGAATTCAAACGTCTTTTGTTATACGAGCCACGGCATGACCCACGGAAGCAAGCCAGCCAAGCTTGCTTGGCAATGTCAACGCAAAAAGGCTGATCATCATCACCATCATTATCATCAGCCTTTTCGCGTTGACATTGCCAAGCAAGCTTGGCTGTCTTGGCTTGTCTTCGCTTAGGCCAAATGGAATAATAAAATGAGGAACGAGCGGGGTCAATGAGGTGCTAATGCCCATGCAAATGCAGAATAGGCAACAACGAAACATATTTATGAAGACAGTCCTAAACACACACGAACTGTCAACTATTTACTTCAACAACTACCCGAACACTGCCGGGTATGTTACATATACAGATAGTTGACATACAGAGTGTCGAAAAGCAGCGGACAGAATACGAGTTAAGGGGGCAGCCTACCCACAAATTTCATATGGCATTCAATTTACCGTAACTTTGGGGTTTCTCAATGGATTTGAGTGAAATTTTGACCACACACTCCTGCCACTATGCTGGCCCTCAGGACATGATTTACAAGTTCTTGCGCCTCACTGACAGGCTTTCCCGGCCGGAATAACTCAGATTTCCGGCAAAGTGCCACGGTGTGGGAGCCACCCAGGAGCCAAACAAATGCATTTGCAATTATTTCACATTTTCGCGCCCATTCTGTCCGTGCGTGGGACCCAAACCTAAAAAAAGTCCAGAAGCAGCCATGGGTGGTGGAGTAAGGCCCCTCAACGTGGCCCTGGCATCTGCCACAACGGAACGAGTGTGCGTTCTCTCACAGACTCCCACAGACCCAAGTCAATTGTTTAATTTTTTTAGGTTTAGCACGTGCTACGAGGTCGTACCTTTGATACAACATCCAGTGCTGAGACGTCCACAGCAAGCCATTTCCACAGCGCTGCACACAAAATCCAGGATACCCTCAGAAACCGGCAAAGACTACCACTCACGTTCCACTACTAAAAAAAAAACAAAACAAAAACACACACACTAAAACCACCAGGTAGTAAAAGCGTGAAAAATGACAGCATATATTATGAGAAAAGCATACACATACCACATACAACAGCAGCGCACACAGCAAAACCGCACATAGCGCCAGTAGCGTATACTGCGTTGTAAACATCAGCGTTACGGCGGAGTCGGGATACAACTGCATTGAAAGAACACAATGTCACAAGCGAGAAGGCCTTTCACTCTCGAGAACTTGCGGTTTCACAACATTCTCCCCACCAAAAGGGCTTCTCACCGCCGTACAACAACTCACAAGTCAAACGATTTGGGGCTTACTACGCGTCATTTGCTGCTGCGGTGGTGGCCATGGTAGAATATTACTAATGCCCACCACTTCGGCCAACTCGAATTCGCGAAGCTTGCCGCTGTGGGCTGTCGCACACGACACTGTCACCGATCCACTTCAACATGGGGCGGACGATGGACCAGACAACACACAACCGATAATGTCATAAAGCTCGACGATGTGGGCTGTCACACACGACACGGTCGCCAGTACACTGCTTCGAGCCGAGAACACACATCCGATCTCTGTGGTCCACACAGTCTCGCCGTTGACCTCTTCCGCGCTAACCAGTATCGCCCTTCTCAATTCCTTAGCTTCTACTTCTTGCGCTTCTACTCCTTGCGCTTCTACATCTTGCGCTTCTACGTCTTGCGCTTGTACGTCTTGCGCTTGTACGTCTTGCGCTTGTACGTCTTGCGCTTCTTCGTCTTGCGCTTCTACGTCTTGCGCTTCTACGTCTTGCGCTTCTACGTCTTGCGCTTCTACGTCTTGCGCCTCTACGTCTTGCGCCTCTACGCCTTGCACCTCTACGTCTTGCGCCTCTACGTCTTGCGCCTCTACGTCTTGCGCCTCTACGTCTTGCGCCTCTGCGTCTTGCGCCTCTACGTCGTTCGGCCGAGACTCCAACTGCTTCTGAGCGTCTCCGACCGATGTCGCCATGCACTGCACCGACGCAGTGGGCCTTGGATCTGATAATCCACTGGCTTCGAATACTCCTCTGACCGCTGCTTGTCCGTAAGCAAAGTCTTCCACGCCTTGTCCGGCGTCCTTTCGCGTGAGGCAAGCAAATCTCGCTTTGCTCCCTCATATTTACTGCTGGCGATGCGCTCGTTCATCTTCTTCAAGTTCTTGAGCTTTTCGTCAAACTCTGGGCGGAGCGCACCCTCTTGCCGTCTAGCACTGCGCTCTTCAAACTCCTCGCTCTGTCGGAGCCTCTTCTCCACGTATTCTCTCCACTAAACCAGGAATCGTCAAACTGGTGTCCAGTCCAGAATGTCGTAAGGTGTTTGACGATTCCTGGTTTAGTGTTATTCGTTGCGCACGTTTCTTCAAGCAATTGCAGGTGTTGGAAGCTGTGTATATTCGTACTCGTGACCCTGTGCTATGTAAACAGAAAGAAAACGTTGTATCACTCACACTCTTCAAGTAATACACACGCACCATTACATTCATTCACACAGTATCACATTCATCTGCCACTACCTTTCTCACATACACTATATTCACACATTGCAAAGGTGCAAACTTCGCTTTTTGTACCTGTTAGCTGCTGTATTTCTACCTGAAACCATATTAGCTACATGTATATAAGTGTGTGTTTTTAGTTATTACATTTTATGTGACGGCGTTCCACTGATGACAGTCACAAGAAAACGTTATGGAACTTGACTTTCTTCATTTTTGCTGTTGTAATGAATGAATGAATAACACTAAAACCACCAGGTAGTTATAGCGGGAAAATGACAGCGTATATGAGAAAAGCATACACATACAACATACAACAACAGCGCACACAGCAAAACCGCACATAGCGCATGTAGCGTATACTACGATAATAATAATACAGCATGCATATAGCTCATATGAAAAATCAAATGAGGGTCATGCATCTGTCGACAACGTCGAGCCAGTGCGTTCTGTCTGAGGCAAGTTGCTCCGCTTCCAAAAGAGACATATTGAGAAGTAAAAGGTCATTCCTAATGTTGTCTGCCCATCTGGTCACTGGGCGACCTGTGGAATTCTTTATTTCTGCTATATTTATTGCCATGTGAAGGGCTTTGTAGGACACAGCGTCCTTCCCTTCAGGAATGACATGTCCAAACCATAATAAGCGCCGGCGTCTACAGACTGCACTTATTGGGCATTGAGCAGTTTTAGCATAAAGAGCATTATTCGAAATTTTATTGGGAAAGATGATTCCAAGTATGTATCTGAGTTTACGGCGGTGCCATACATCAATTTTGCTTTCTAAGGCTTTTGTTAGAGTCCATTGCGCGCAGTTATATAGGAGAACTGGCAGAATGAGACAGTTGAACATGTTTAAGCGGGACTGCTGGGTATGGCGTTTCCATGATACACTGGAAAATGCCCGGTTCGCTGCTACGATACGTGCATCAATGTCCTCCGCTGACCCCAGACGAGAACCCAACAGTTTGACCGACCTCCAGGAGGCGACTTTGTAGCTGTTACAAATTGTGTTTTGGTGATGTTTAGTTTTAAGTTATCCTCTGCGAAGATGGGTTCGCATTTCTCTACGGTTGCTTCAACTGCTGTCCGGTTGTGGTCATGCACTGTTGTATCATCTGCATACAGGGTGAACTTAGTAGGTAGATTGACTTGTTCTGGGCAGGCTTCTCTGATCCTCTGCATTGCACCTTCTGCGTAGACAATATACATAAGGGGTGACAGGGGTCCCCTGCACCACTCCAACATTAGTTGGAAATGACTGACTGAGCTGCTTTCCGAGCTTCACGCGAGCATAGGTTTCGGAGACTAGTTGCTGAATAGTGCTAACATGTGCACCTGCCGAAGCCAGACGGTCAACAGCAGTCTGCCTGATTATTGTATCAAATGCGCCACTGAAATCTAAAAGCGCCGCTGAGTGACTCCAGTCTCCTAGCAAGGCCCTCTCGCACATCATTCTTGTGAATAATACTCCGTCCGTAGTCCACCGCCCAGGGCGGAAGCCAGCCTGGCTTTCAGGCACAAAGGAGTCCACGAATGTAGTGCAGCGCTGTGTGAGAATACGGGTCAGGACCTTTCTGACCACCGACAGAAGCATAACTGGTCGGTAACT